TTTGACGGGTTTCTGAAATAAAAAATTAAATTACTTGAAGGATTTAATTTTGCCGGGCACCTGACAGGGTTCGTATTACATGCAACAAGCATCACACGGCTACTATGGGATTTTCTGCCCTTCGAAAATCCAAGCGCCTCAGCTGGGGCCGAACCTCTGGGTGTTAAGAGGCCAGCAAGTTCACAACTCGCCCACCTATGCGCCCAACTAATGATAAATATATCAAATCAGAGATATTAATAAAATAAATAAATGTCTAACGTAGCCGGGATCAAATCGGCAACCTCCCAGCCACTGGGTCACCGTACAGCGAGGCCTTCACACCGACCGCAATCAGTGTTCATCGCCCCGTAACCCGCGATGCGAGATCTAGCCGGCCGGCGCACGCAACGTCACGCGTCGCTCGGCACCTGTGCACACAGACCGGAAGCTCAAGAGAGACGAGAGCGAGGTGGCTTCCGAAGTGCAGTCCGGGCTTCGAGACCGACGACTTTCTCCACTTGCCCCGGTCGCCTTCTGGGCGTCACGCGGCGCCTCTGAATGCTCGCTCGCGCCGCCGCGCAATCAGAGAGAGAGAGAGAGGGAGGGAGAGCGGCACTGACCGCGCCGTTTCTCAGTGTCACGGTCTGCGAGCTCTGCGTCGCTCTTAACCTCCGCTCGCTAGCGATCGCATTCCTTTTCTTTTTATCTGCTTCTTCTTCTTTCGTTTTTCAGTTTTCACTATATCTGCTCCTGTTCTTGCCATACTTTTTTTTCGCCTCTCCCCGTTCTGCTATTATTTTGTTTTATCCATTTCTATCTACTTTTTCTCTCCCTCTCTTCCTTCTCTCTTTCCCTTTCTTCCTCTCACTCTCTGTATGTTATTTACGTCTATGTCTTTTTCTCCCTCTGCCATACTATATTTTTGTTGTCTTCGTTTTCTTTTTACCTTTCTTCCTATTCTTTAGCTTCGACTTCTGTTTTGGGTTGGGATCAATACATTTCAATTATTTATTTCGTTTAAAATTCTTAAATAATATGTGCTCTGTTGTATTGCAAATATCAATGAACGACCACGTAGCGATAAATATTTTCCACATTTGTAATCAATACTTTTTTTACTCATTAATGTTTCGTCCAAATAATAAGTACTCAAAACCGCAAATGAGAAACTTGTCATTTGATTAGTTTCGACCATGAAAACACTAAAAGCTGAATGTAATGTATGGGGAAGAAGATCTGCGCACGTTTTCTTGAGTTCTAGAATCCCTTCCCAACATTTTCACTATAAATAGCTGAAAGATGAATAAAAGTTTAATAATAATAATAATAATAGTAATAAGAAGAAGAAGAAGAATAAGAATAATAATTTTAAAAGCGCGAGTATAGCAACATTTGAAAAACTAAATATTTTCGTCTCCGAATTTGCAAATAAATTGCTATTCTCACAAACATTAAACTACGTGTTGTATATTTTATTTATTATTTATTTATTTAGAAACTCAAAATGATATATTAAACATTTTCCCTGACAAATTGAGAACTTAATTTGATCATAACAGATTTTCAATTGATATCCGTATTGATATATTTTGTAAGTATTTTCTGTGTCTTATAATTTATAGAAACTTTAAATAGTAAATCCGTATATTTATTGCCGAAATGTTATTTTTTCGTAATACATCACTTTAATTTCGGTATAACACAAGCAAGCAAAGCAACGAAAAGTCTCTCTTATCGACCAGCATCTGTTAAAGAATTTCGCCGTTCGTTATGAACATCCGAAACAAATGAATCGTGGCTACAAATTTTGTATAAATACATCTAGTACAAAAAAATACATTTTATTAATGTTTTTTCTAAGAATCTGGTATTTTGAAAAATATTACATGATACGAGGTCGATATCACAAATAAAGGACTTCATTTATTATTTTATCTGCATGACCTCCATGACATTAATATGTTCAAAGTCCTTTTTATAGAATCCTAAATAAAAATAATCAAGATTTACCGTCCAATGAGGGACACAAAACGTGTCTTCAATTTGTGGGAATGGATCTGTCAGAGTTGGGGTCGCGGTTCATAAAAACGTTCATTCTTTTGGCCTCAGGCATTTCAACTATGTACGTCTGAGCCACGAATTCCCAGCGACACAACTTCATCTCGCTCTTCCGTAATAAATATCCCGTGAGCTCTTCAGTCACGGCCTTGTGGATCCGCTAGCTGTCGGTGCAGCGCTGCCGTGCGGTTACTCGCGTGGCCGTCAGGCTTCGCTACGCATCGCGGCGCAACATAGCAGTTTCCTTCGGATGGGGATTTTTTCGTACTCCGTGGACCCTGAAGTCTTCTTCGTCGGCATTCCTGCCCAGGACGATTCTTGCCGAGTGACACCCGAGTACTGGAAATCTTGCAGGGGTCTTTCTATCCTGTGGGGAGCTGTCCATTTCCTAGCTCTAAGGATGGGAGTGGGGAAAGGATGAGGAAGGAAAGATTGTGCACGGTCCGTGGCCCGTTGTTTAAGATACATTTCATCCGGAATGTGCCTCTTGCCTCTCTGGTTGATGGAGAATAAGGAACCATCGAAAGCTGCTATTGTAATAAACAAAATTGTTGGCAATGACGACTCATATAATTATTTCATTGTAAATGCCAACGATAACTCACCACAATACCAATAACTATCTTACTTGGCCTACCTGCGCTTTTTGTTTCGTCACACAGCTATAGAAACTGGGACGATTGTATTAGAAAGCTACAGCTTCACTTTGACTCCGACCGGAAATCGAACCCGGGACTGACTCACAGAAAGCTGCCACGCTGCCCCTGATCTTCCCGAGGAGCAAGAACAAATAAAATGACTATGTACGATTATACAGATCTTTTCAGTTTTGGCAAAAGTCACCTCTTCAACGTTCCTTGAAAAGAGAAACCTTCCTGCGGAAGCCAATTAACCTTATGAGCGAGATGATTAATAACTTTCTTAAATTTTCTCATAACCTTTCATCGTGGTAAATATCCGACAGGTGTGTTGTCCATTCTAACGCGTACGTTAGCGTTGTTTAAAACCCCTGACCGATTTAAAATCGCGTTTCATTTAAAGGAGAAAGCAGTGTAATTATTTTGAAGATGTAAAGACTGGTAAAAATCATCTGTACCTTTCATCATGGTAAATATCTGACAGATGTGTTGTCTATTCGAGCGCGTACATTAGCGATGCTTAAAACGTGTGATCGATTTAAAATCGCGTTGAATTTAAAGAAGAAACCAGTGCCATTATTTCGAAGATGTAAAGACTGACGAAAATCAGTTGTATTAATATATCACGCATCCTATTTGAAAACAAATTTAGGTCAGCGAAATTGCTTCTCACGATCGATTTCTTGAATGTAGATTGTAAATTATGTGCTTCATTTTGTTTTGATTCAGATTTTATTATAATAACTGTGGGTGTATTGGAGTGATCCACAGAAAACCTTGTCAACAAAATATAAATCAATATTCAAGCGCTGTCGGATTATTAGAGCATTCTTTAGTGAATTGTGTGCTGTGTGAAGTTCAACGAGACTTGCTTAATATATGAAAACATTAGTATATACTCGGGATGTAATGTAGTCTAATCTGTAGAAACGTCTGTAGTACCGCGTGTATAATTTCGCGGAGTTGTATGTACAAAGAGAAGCTTGTTTAAAATGAATCAGGTTCCTCGTGTGAGATGCAAAATCCCCGCTTTTATGAAACATTTGCGTTCAACGGTTGAGAACTACCTTTTTCATTTATTGATTTAACCATCCATTCAGAATCCGTATTTCTCCGCATAATTTACCCGTCATTCACCCACTTGGAAGGTAATGGCAAACCACCACTGTGAATATCTGCGTAGGGAAAAAAGGGTATACAGGTTTAAGCCTTCTCCCTCGCCTGCGCTTACAAATGAGAATGGTAGTCGTCCTCATTATCGTCATCATCAGTAAAGAGCCCACTCCTTCCTAGGGGCTTGTGGCGTAGTCGCTAGCATGCGCGCGTTCCACCGCATATGCGTTGGGGCGCGGGTTCGATCTCCTGCCAATCATGGATATGATGAACAAACAGCACTCTCGGCATAATTTCTCATGGTTTTCCCGCTTTTACTGTTCCTTTTTTCCACCAATTCTCACTCAACATTGACATCATTATCGCTATTGTTTTGTAATTAGGTTATAAAGCATGGACCCTAATGCGTTATAGATACCTCTCCTAAACTAAATTAAGTAAATAAATGATTTTAAAAGAAATAAGTAAATCTGTATTACCTAATTTAAAATGCGCGCAATGACAGAAAACATCAGAATTATATCATTATATCATACGGTAGCAATGCGCAAAGGAAGGCGGCGGCCCACAATTAAATATTTGCTCTGCGTGTGTTTTTTGCAACTTTTTTTTATATTTTTGATGCAAAAAGAACTGTTGAACTGACTGTACTACATTGCAGTATTCCTGAAGACTGTTTTTGTTGAAATATCTACTTAATTTCAGTGTAATGCGAGAGTATTTTATTTATTGTTCTTGAGCATGTGCGTACTACTCGTACTTCTTGGAAAACCCTTTTGTGAGGCTTAATTCAGCAGCAGTTTTTTTCAGCTGCAAGCTACTAGTAAGTAAATGTTTAATTTCAGTTTCATGCCTTAATTCATGGGTAGACTAAGGCCATCAGACCCGCTTTTCTTTCTGAACACGCAAATTTCGCTTCCCTCCTTTTACCCTCTTGCGCAGAAAGAAGGTATCTCCCGGCAGAAAGGTATCACTCGGGCGTCGAAACAGGCGATTTCAATCAGAGTCTTTAGGCTATTTTACATCCAGTAAATCTACAACATGGGACATCCGGCTTTATTTCCCCTCCGAGCGATGGTATACGCTGTATTTTTCCACATTAAAAATCCGCGGCTTCGATTTGAGTATAACCGCCCGAAACGCTAACCGAAGGCGAATACTTATGTAAGTACGCACAGAACTGACATCGTGCCTCCCGCGTTGTTGCAGGTGGTGCTGAGCCTGGCGGCGCTGTGCGCGTGCGACTCGCAGTCGCAGGCGCCGGCCCAGTCGCAGGCGGCGCAGTCGCAGGCGCAGTCGCAGTCGCAAGAGCCCGCTGACGCCGAGGCGTCGGCGTCCAGCCCCAAGACGAAGCGCACGGCGTCGCACGGGCTGGGCGGAGCGTCACTCGGCCACTCGGGCTTCAGCTACGGCCTGGGCGGCTTCCAGGGCCTGGGCTCCAGCCCGCTGCAGCTGTACGGCGGCGGCCTCGGCGGCGGGCTCGGCGGCGGCCACGGGCTGGGCGGCGGCGGCGGCTTCAACTCCGCGCTGCTGTTCCAGAGCGCCTCTGGCGGACACGGAGGCTTCGGAGGTACGGGTTTGGAACAAATGATACAAACTTCCAGGACACGTACGAATTGCATATAAAATTCTAGAGCAATAGTGGTTCACAATGTTTATGTGTAATATACTAGCGTCGTCGGGCAGACGTCCTGCTCTCTCACCCTATCTTTGTCTGTCTTCGTCTCTCTCTGTCATCGCAACCCACCCTGTCTTAGCGTCTTTCTGTCATCGCCTCTCACTCTGTTTTTGTCCCTGTCTCCCTTTCTCTCTCACTCTCTCTCACTCACTCTCTGAATTCCCCCTCTCTCTCTTTTTTTTGTCTCCGTCTCTCACTGTACCTTCTCTCTTTCCCCGTTTCTCTGCCTCCGTCTTTCTACCTCCGTCTCTCTCTGCATCTGTCTCTCTATTTCCGTCTATCTCTCCGCTCTCTTTGTCTCTCTCCATCTCTGTCTCCGTGTCTGTCTTTGTAGATGCTAATATCAAGTTTTGCAATTTTATACGTTTGGAATAATTACGTATTAAATAAAAATAAAAAGTCCTTTCTTTACCTAATTTTTGTTTTATAATTTTTTCTTCTGTTTTTCCTTTTCTGGGGAGGTTCTTTCTGTGTCTGAGCATTATCCGCTTTTTGCCCCAGCATATTTCAACGAGACAGACGCCGCTGCAACCCGCCAGCGTGTAACGCATAACCGTCAAGCGGGTTGCCTAACTTTAAAGCGATTGCCTTTTTCTGACGTCGTTTGTTTGTTTGCAGGTCTGGGCGGTCACGGCGGCCTGCTGAGCTTCGGCGGCGGGCACGGCGGGCTGGTGGCGGCGCCCAGCATGGCGCTGCCCCTCGGGGGTCTGGGCCAGGGCGGCGGGCTGTCCCTGGGCGGGCACGGCGGAGGGCTGTCGCTGGGCGGCCTGGGCCTGGCCGGGCTCGGCGGGCTGGGCGGCGGCTTCGGAGGCGGCCACGGCGGCGGCGGCGCGAGCCAGCTCGCTCTGGCCGTGCCCGTGCAGTTCGGCACCGGCTCCAAGCTCGGACCGGTGGGTACCTCCACACTTGCCTCTCTGCCTCTGTGTGTGTGTGTGTGTGTGTCAATGGATGGGTATTGAGGAAATCAATAGTTCCATTCCTTCTCGTTGCAGCATGAGCAAAGTGATAATTCTAGAAAAATCTATAATTTTTCTGAAAACTGTTGTACCTTGAGCGAGACGTTGATTTCGTAGCCAAAGACAAAATATTATAATCTTGATATCGATTGCCATGGAACTACTTTTATTAAGTTGTTACTTGTAAAAATACACCATTTTGTAATTTGTTGAATCATGAGCACTAGTTCGAGAACAATGTAGACCTCCAGGAAACATCTTACGCAACCTAGACGTGGTCACGATACACTCTATTCCGTGAAATATCCTTCGTACACAGTACGAAGACAATAGGGGCCAAGAGGCCATGTGGTATAGCAATAAAAACGCCCAGTTAAAGAGCAATAGATTCACATCAGGTGATGGCAAAGAGGAACCTGGTTGATTCTGTGAGGGCCCCGTTGCTCCAGTCAGTGCAAAGAGCGTTTTCATGATAACGTTGGCAGTGATTCTTTGAACGACTCTCTAAACAGTGATTCTCTCTAGAACCGTAGACGTTACGAAGTAACACAGGCACGCATACATACTTAAGATTTTCTAGGCTTCTCTTCTTTACGTAGGTTAAAAAATATAAATTTTGAGCTGTCTCTTTTCTTATATAGTAATTAGAGAGTGACTTTGGGCGTGAAATAAACAGCTACCTCCTTGTAAAAACCTTTCTCATTCTATACAAGTCGATTTTTAAGATGCGCAGGCTGTTATCTCAAAGGCAGCATTACCGTAGTATCTTAAGCGATTCAGACAGGGGTCCTAGGGTTCGAGTCCCGATGGTGGCGGATTTTCGATACTAGCAACATCGCTGGGTCAAATTCAGTGCAAATACGTGCAGTTCACTGCCAAACTTTTCGGGAGCGTGGAGCTTGTTCCGCCTGAGATGGTGCCCGGCTGATGAATGGGGAACTCTCCCGCAAGCTGGCGTGTAGTAACATCGACACCTTCCGAGATAAAACATCCACTACACTGAAATAATTATATGCGCCGTCATTGCCAACAATATTATTTATTAAAAAAGCAGCTTTTGATGGCTTAGCCATCATCATCCGTTTTCTAGTATGAAGAAATACAAAAACATTAAAACTCCACTAACTCTCACTGGCTCTCATCCTGGTTGTGTACGTGAATTACAATGTGATATATCGGGTGTATATGGAAATGTACTCAATCAAATCGAATTATTATTGACATCCCTGATTATAGCTAGATAGTCACATAACCTAATCCACTGCACTAACTGGTCCAATTATCGTAGCAGTTGGCTTGCTCGAAAACATCACTGATGCTCGCTTGTTCCGGTGCGGCGCCCAACTGACCCTTACTGCGTTTGCAGGTGACGTTCGGGCTCCACGGAGGCGGCGTGGGCGCGGCGCCCGCCGCCGCGGCGCTGCCCCTCCAGGCGTACGCCGCCCCGTCGCCGGCCGTCGCGTCCGCCGCCCTCGCCAGCGCCTACCTGGGCGGCGGCGGCGGCAAGTCCCTGGTGTCGCCGGGCGGCTACAGCGGGGTGAGCTCGGCCAGCCTGGGCTCCTACTCCGCCCCCAGCGCCGCCTACTCCGCCCCGTCTTCCTCCTCGTCGTCCGGCTCCTCCTCCTCGTCGTCGGGGTCCTCCTACTCGGCGCCGTCGTACGCGTCCGGCGGCTCCTACTCGTCGGGCGTGTCCTACGCCGCGCCCTCGTCCTCCTCCTATTCGTCGGGCGGCTACTCCGGAGGCCCGTCCTACTCGTCGGGCAGTCTGCACGGAAGCTACTCCAGCCCCAGCTCGTCGTACAGCGCGCCCGCTGGCGATTCCGGGTACTCGTCGGGGTCGTCCGGCTCGTCGTCTGGGTACAACACCATCAGCTACAGCAAGCCGTACTCGCGGTGAGGGGGGGCGTCGCGTCTGATTCGGTGCTGCCGCTGCTGTCATTTCGTCGTCGACTCATCACGCTTCATTTCGTACCTTCGCTCACGTCCCATTGCCCCATCGTTCGTTTCGTGTAATTACGGATGCCAGTTTGCGAGTGGAGGGTCGATAGCGCGTCTCGCGTATCGATTCTGTTCCCTTTATCGTTCTAACAGCTTTATAAGCGCTGATTCTCTAAATTTTGCTTTTTAGTCGCAGCTACTGCTCTCATCCTGATTGTGTACGTGAATTACAATGTGATATATAGGGTGTATATCGAAATGTACTCAATCAAATCGAATTTCTATTGGCATCCCTGATTATAGTTAGATAGTCACATAACCTAAACAGTATTATGAGAAATATTAATTATTTTTGATAATACTTTTTGTGTGAGTAATGTTTTTTGTATAAAATATATAAATAAAAGAATTTGTTTTTCTTTTTGTTGAATGAAGTTTCTCATTTCCTTCCTGTCCTGTCATTTCATTTTGTAATTTTCACGAGTCATCTCAGAGTGATACTTTTTATAATTTTTCCTGAACTTTATACTACGTGTATGTACTACATATTTACATACAATACATCAATAAATTATATGTATACATTTCATGAAGTAAAGTATACATTACATATACGGAAACACATTATGTGTAATTGGTGAAAATCTTGCAATACGTTTTGTGACACGGAACTCAGTCGAAATTAAACAAGAATGCTTCACATTATTAGTGAATTATTAAATTAGAGTAATAATAATATGAATAAGTATAAAAGGTGCGTAATTAATTTAGTTATGTTTAACAACTAGATTAAACCCGACTCCAGTTACTAATATTACAGGTGTTACATAAATAGTATTTCGTGGTTTTACAACAATCATTCTAGTTTTATATGTATATTATTAGATGTATTTGAATATGAATCGTTTTTTAAAAGATGAATTATTGAAGAGGTGGATTCCAAAACGAAGTAAGTCAATTCTTTATTTCGAAGTTATCCTTGCTTGTAATTAGTTAATGAATCCAACTAGATATAAATGGAAATAAAATATTCTAAAACATTTCTTAGTCAAGACGTTTTTGACCCGCAAAACTGTGATTTTTTTCTAAATTCGTGCTTAGTAATGTATTTAAATACATAAAAAAACACTTTTTATGGAAAAAAAGCATTTTCTGACATGGTTTTGGAATTCACCTCTTCAATTTTAATGAAATCTAATGGGTAGTTGATATAAATGTAGGTGGTTACTTATTTAATGCTTATTCCTATCAGCTATCACCAAAAATTTCTAGACATTCAATAATAAGATGTATAGTAAAAATGGTCTTGGTCTGATAATTGGATCAGAAAACTGTTGCTGACAGTGAAGTACCAATATGGTGACTAGTTAGTAAAAGTTGCGGACTTCTATTCATTTTCAAGTTTGGTGGGCGGGGTCAGGTTCCGTTGCATTTCTTATAACCACGTGTAGATTGGATGGAAACGTTTTCCATTTGTAGTTTCAAAAGTTCCTAAAGAGGCTGTAGATTTTTCGTCCGTTCTAGTGGACGGTGCTCAGGGCGGTGGTCTACTTGGCATGCTGTGCCACAAGTTTTATCTGCGGGCCACTACTGTGGCCCCAGCTTGAGACCGACCGATGGGAGGGAAAGAAGCCGCTTGGGCGCGATAGGCTCTAGTCTGGTGAAAGGCGTGCCACTGCCAGCAGTCTGGCCTGAATTCTTGCATTTGAGCTGCCTTGTTCTAGTCTTATTAGTTTTTTCTTTTCTCTTCATTTTCTGTTATACTTTGTAGGGGGATGTGAAAACAAGAGGGATGTTCGCGTTTTGATTTATCAATGAAAATGCTTCGTTACATGTTTTATGAATAAAAAGAATGGTTTTCATGGAAGGAGAGGATTAAGTGTTCTCAGGACAATAAATAATGTGGTTAGGTGTTTAATTTCGTTCTATATTTATTGAATACATGATGTAGATGTTTTTGATCACAGTGACCAAGGACATTTATTGCAAATAAACAAGAAGCAATTAAATGCTTTCTAGAAAACACGGAACATATTTTTTGCTACAGGGGTATCATATATGAACCTTCGTTGCATGCACGAAGATTAATCATTTACTTACTCTGGATATAAAAAGAACTATTGCTACAATAGTACATATTTTCTCGCATTATATGAAACTTTTGCAGTTTTCGAAAATAGAGTTAAGCAAAAATTTCACATGCGCAATTTTTAAGCGCCTTTCTATTCAAGAAAACATTAAAAGAAACATTTTGAAGCGGATTTTTGAGAACAATTGTGTTTTACAAATTGCGTCCAATTGCAAACAAACATTAAATGAAAACTACTCTCATTTTCGCAAAATTGCATACGATCATATTTACAATATAACTTAGTATTAATTTCATTAAGAAACAATCCTTCTCTTCAATACTGCTGTATTAGGAAGTCGACGAAAATTATTTTAACATTTTTTTTATTTTTCAAAATTTAGAGAGTTCAACGTTAAACGTACAGAACGGAGCGAACGTTTTGGCGCTAACGTTGGACAGAGACAGAGACGTAGATAGAAAGGCTAAAACGAGTATGTTGCAATTGAGCAATGTACCATGTGCGTTGGGATCTAGTAGGAGCATATACACACCAATCTTAAGTATGATTAAGTTGAGTTACGCATGTTTCAAATGGAAAACTTGTGTATGATTTTTACTTTCTCGCTACCGGTAACGCAGTAGAGAGAAAGTTATGTAATACTGCGTGAAAACACGGCAAAGTTTCGGTAGAAAAACTCTTATTACAAGGCCCTGATAACGAAAAAGTGGATAAATCCTATTGCTAAATTTAGAGGGGGAAATCCTCGAACAAAGGGTGTAGCCAGAATCCATGCGGGTCCTTAAGTTCATTTAGGTTCCAGTAACCGTTTAAAATTTGTTCTCTTTTGAGTTGTCAAAACAACACTAGACTAAATTATATTTAATGAAGCACTTAAACACACCAAATATAGTCAAATCGCTAAAAATAGTAGACTACGTCACAAAATTGCAAGAACATAACCAGTGCGTCAGTCTCGTAAGATGGCGTCAACCAGTCTCCTTAATATCGAAAAATCTTTTGACGACAAAATGTGCGTCCGTCCCTCTGTGAACAACGTTAGCAGCCTCGAAGAAGAGGAAGGAAAGATCGCGAGCGGTCCGTGGCTCGTTTGTTAGGGAACTGCTCCGGCATTCGCCTGGTGTTGATCTTAACCATCACAGCCGGGAAGAGCTCTAAGCTCCCCACCGGTCTCACGCCATGTGTGGAGTGTGGTGCATGCTAGTGTAAGGGGAGACGGTAGAACAAGGAAGAGGAAGGAAAAATCGCGTGCGGTCCGTGGCCCGTTTGTTAAGGTACTGCTCCGGCATTCGCCTGGTGTTGACCGGAGAAACTACCGATCAGAGCAACCGGCAGCTAGAGTTTCCATCCACTCAGCGGCTGAACTCGACCTAGGTGTGTAGCTAGTGCCGAAAATCCTGCCACCGTCGGGACTCGACCCTAGGACCCCCGATCAAAAGTACAGCTGTGACATCAGTTGATAACCTGAGCCACCTACGCCGGTCCCGTTTTCCCGAAACGTGCTTCGTATTCACACCTGCTCGCGCATCGTAGATGGCTGCACATAATCGCTGGCTCTGCTCCGGCCAACCCGTCCTTGAAACTCCGCGGGCGAGGCGCCGGGCTCTGATTTACGGGCGAGTCG